CAAAAAACAGTTACTCAAGCAACTGGATATGATTTTGAAAACGTCAGACGTTTCAGCTAGTATCCACTAGCTTTCGTCAGTGACTGAGAGACCAGAGGGGAAAGCAGGTTTATATACACAACCTGTTGATTGATATGCAAATAGAGTGAAGACAAATTTTTGGAAGTCGAAAAAGGAACAAAAGTCAGACAAGTCAAGACAAGATGATGCAAATTAGTCTGAAAGCTCCTGTTATACAGGACAGGAGCTTAAGTGTTGTCTGTCCTCGGGGCTGGGAGTGCCAAATCCCAAGTGCCGGAAAGATCGACCCGTAGCCCCCCTTCCCTCGTTGAGGGTGGGGTTGTACATTCTTTCATATATTGCCTCTTTAACACCCCGTTCCCACCAGCGTGTTTCGCGGTCTAAGACATCCGTGGACTCGAGTTTGAAAGAGTGACCCTGGTTGTGTTGTAGGTGGTGGAAAATAGCTGAGGAGTAGCCGTTGGCACTAGGTCGGCAATGTTCCTTGTACCTTACTTTAAGCGGCCGACTTGTCTCTCCGATGTAGGTGTTGTTACAATTGGGCTCCTCACATTTGAGTCTGTAAATAACATTCGCCTTGGTACCCTTGTGAGGTCGGTCCTTAGGGTGTACCAGTCTTTGTCTGAGGGTTGAGTGAGGTTTGAAGTTAGTGGCTATGTTGAAGTTTTGGAAGATCCGTCGGAGTTTCTCAGATACTCCTTGGACATACGGAATAGTGATGTTGGCCTTGTTTTTGTTGGTCAATGGTTTGCACTTCTGGGTTTTCTTAGACTGATCTGAAGGTTTGAGCGCTTTGTTGAAAGTCCAGTTTTGGTAGCCACATTTAGCCAGGGCACCTCGGAGGTGTCTATGTTCGTCCGTTTTGGCTTGGTCTGAAGTGACAATGTTGTCTGCACGATGGAAGAGAGTTTTGATCACTGCTAGTTTGTGTTCCAAAGGGTGGTGGGAATCAAAGGCCAGGTACTGATCAGTGTGGGTTGGTTTCCTGTACACTTCGAAACAAAGGTTACCATCTTCCTCTACGATAGTTTTGGTGTCTAGGAAAGGGAGCATGTTGTCATGGCTTGGCTCCTGTGTGAACTTGATGTTGTCATCTATCTGGTTGATGTGGTCAAAGAAGTCAGCAGCTACCCTCTTTTTCAATCTGCACCAAGTGTCATCTACATATCGAAACCAGTTGGCCGGGGGAGTGTCATTGAAAGTGCTGAGGGCTTTGTTTTCAAACTTCTCCATGTACAGGTTTACAACAATTGGTGAGACTGGTGATCCCATAGCACAGCCGTGCATTTGTTGGTAGAACTGTCCTTTGTGGGTAAAGTATGTGCATCCTAAGCAGAGTTCTAGTAGCTCACAAACTTGGTCAACGGATAGGTTGGTTCTATCTGCAAGTGTATCATCGGCTTCCAAGGCTTCCTTGACTACTGACACTGCTTCCTTGGGTGGTATGGAGGTGAAAAGTGAGCACACGTCATATGAAGTGATGGTTTCATCATCCTCTACATGAATGTCTTTGATTTTGTTGACAAAGTCGGCACTATTCTGTACATGGTGCTGAGATTTCCCCACTAGTGGTCCTAAAATCTTGGCTAGAAAACCTGCTAACTCATAGGTGACAGAGCCTATACTGGAGACTATGGGTCGTAGAGGGACACTTTGTTTGTGGATTTTGGGAAGGCTGTAGAAAGCAGGGGGTTGTTCCGTTGTGGGATTGAGTTTTAGGTAGGTGGGGCGATCCAGAACTCCTTCGGTTTGCAATTTCTTGAGAGCTGAACTGATTTTCCCTTTAAACTTGATTTGATTTGATTTGATTTGATTTATTAGGCTGATAACACATAAGTAAGCAGCCAGGACTGCCCAACTAGCCGGAGGCTATTATAAAGGGCTAGCCCTCACAACAATAACATAAACAATTTGGAACAGTTAACATTGTCAGTTACAATTCAGATAGACATACTACTACTACATAACAGATGTTGTGGCCAAACGTTAACAAGCTAGAATATCCGGCCTGGTCGTCGTGCGTTTACTACAATTACATTTATATGTCAGGTTAATATACTATTACATAACAGATGTTGTGCACTATATTTACACTGTCAATACAATATTATTCTATTGAACTATTTAGTTTAAACTTGTTAGTGGGGTCCTTTTTCAAGGGCATGTAGGTGTCTTTGTCTCCCAATAGGTCCTGTACCTTCCTGTCGTACTGCTCCCTGTCTAAGACTACTGTGCATCTGCCCTTGTCTGCAGGAAGAATCAATATGTCTTGATTGGTGGCCAAATCTTTGAGAGCGGTACGTTCTTCCCGTGTGATGTTACTAGCAGGGGGTTTGGAGACTTTCAGGGTGGTAGCTACTTTGGTGCGCAAGGCTTCAGCTTGTCTCTGTGGTAAACGTGCCCGACGAATTGCTGACTCGGTTTCTGTCACAATGTCAATGCTGGGAATCTTGTTGGGTGCTACTGCGAAATTTAGACCTTTAGAAAGCAGTGATTTCTCTGGTTCTGTGAGAGTATGGCTACTTAGGTTTTTTACCCACCTCTCGTCGGTTTGGGCCTGTGTAGTGGTTTTGGGTTCGGAACTGTTTGATCTCCAATTTGGGTCACTATCTGCTGCGCTAATAGTCTTCTTTTGCTGTAAACGATCAAATTTGGTCTTCTGTCTGTCTTTTCCCTTCTCGTGCTGATCAAGTTGTCCGCGTGTTATGAACTCTTTAGTTTCGGCAAAAATCTCGTCTGATATATAGTTTCTCCCTCAGTAGTTTTTCAAGGTTAGATTTCCTCGCGTTTAGACCGTCTAATTTGTAGTTGATCTGTCTTACCCTTTCGTTTAGTAACTTTCTTTCCGCGTTGAAGATGATCTTGTTGGCGTTGAAGCCTCTGATGGAAGTTTTTAAGCGTAGGCTAATTTGCATCATCTTGTCTTGACTTGTCTGACTTTTGTTCCTTTTTCGACTTCCAAAAATTTGTCTTCACTCTATTTGCATATCAATCAACAGGTTGTGTATATAAACCTGCTTTCCCCTCTGGTCTCTCAGTCACTGACGAAAGCTAGTGGATACTAGCTGAAACGTCTGACGTTTTCAAAATCATATCCAGTTGCTTGAGTAACTGTTTTTTGGCATATCGTATTACCTGGATGTCTAACCTTCATCGACGAAAATATGTGTAATATCGTGTAAATTATTTAATGTGTAACTCTATTACCACATCTTGACTCCAAGATTGTGCTGTCGTTAAGTTTTTAAAACAGGATGTACATCTTAGAACGTAATTCAGCTTTATGCTGCAATGTTCTTGATTTTAGCAATAAACCATTTTTGATTTGATTGATTGATTTGATATACGTACATAGAGTCAGGTGAAAATGAGAACCCTACTACAGTTGAACATGCCCATATTGCATACTTCAGCAAGGCAGCAACTCACTGTCCACTAATCTGAAAATATAAATACAGAGTAATAAAACTGTAGCCAAAGCTTTATAACAGTCTTATCATATGAATGGCTACATATATTTTGCTACCTGTTGAAAGATGTTTCAGACGAAGAGTACCAGTAATACATTTTAGAAACTAGGGTTTGAATGAATGAAAGAATAATTATTTGGCTTTGCCATGAGTATGACAGTTTTTGGCAACACAGGTGCAATGTAGAAACACAAGCTGGCTTAGTACTAAAGTACTTTACAGTAGAGATTTGCTCAAAGCCAGTTGCATAAGTGTACATAATACTAGTAACAATACTTGTACATTTGGCTTTCAAGTTTCATAGTCTTCAAATCATAAGAATATGACTTTGCAAATTTTCTGAATAGAGACATCATTCATAGATTAAGGATTCTCATTTCTCACCTATGATTATATTTTTGATTATCTTTTCTTTTTTCCCAGGTTTTCTTGTTGCAGTTGGGGTCTTCGTGCTGACCCCAGATGTACTTCTCCGAGTCTACTCTTTCATTGGAGGAGTCCTAATCGCTCTGATTGTCTATTGGTGGAACAGTTACTACATCGCCCACTATCTCCAACAGACATCCTCAGACAATGCCCAGACTAGTATGAATGTCTTGGAGGACCACATGTTCGTCTATGGGCTTGTATTACTAGCAGTAATGACTGTGTTGTATACATTCACACGAGGCTATGCCCACGCTGTGGTAGGAAACTACATCCTGATTTCTTTTACGATTCCCCAGGTTGCTGTGTTGACCATGCCAAGATGGGTGATTGAAATGTCGCTACAAGCATCGCTTGTCATGTCGTACGGAGAACTGGTCACCTGTGCTGTTGTGAATGGGGTGTATATAATCTATCTGTCCAGATTTTTAATCCCGGTCGTGTTCCAGCTTATAAGAACGTACGGGATCCAAGCATTCGTGGAGAGTACGTGGATACGGCTACACATACCGGACGTATTGAGAGTGTTCTGGTTAACAAGAATAGCCGCCCAAGCTGTTGCCTTAGTGTACTTTGTAGTGATAGAAGAAAATGATGCCAGGGTGGTTTGGTATTTACCGGATAGTTCGGAGTGGTGGGAGATTGTGAAGGACTTGATGGTCAGTGGATGTGACTCGATGTTCACGATATCGGGGATGAGCTCTGTCATAGCTATCATCATGCACAACGTAGGGCTACTGTTGCAGAAGTTTCTCAATGTAGAAGACACGGAGGAGAAGAGGATAGGGACAGTTTCGGCTGTCCTGTTCTTCATCTTAGCCGTCCAGACGGGACTGACCGGTCTGGAGCGGAAGAAGCGGCTGGTACGCTTGGGTCGGAACATGGGGCTCCTAACGACCGCGATATTTCACTTCATACACAACATGGTGCACCCGAGACTGATGACGCTCAGCGCGCAACACACTATAGACATGAGAAGACACTACCCCCCACTCACCGTCAGTGCCTTCATCTTCTTCGTCCCTTTCTACTTAATCTACCTGTTGTGGAGTAACAGCAGCTTCAGCACGTGGCTGCTTGCGGTGACCGTGTTCACTGTGGAACTCCTGGTGAAAGTCCTCGCCACATGGTTCCAGTACGCACTCCTCTTAATCGACGCGAGACGAGAGCAGTACTGGGAGAAGCTTGACGACTACCTGTACTATATCAAGTCCACGGCGAACAGTATAGAGTTCGTGTTCGGGATATTCCTCTTCTTGAACGGTAGCTACGTCTTCTTCTTCGAGTCTGGTGGGACGATACGCGCCATCATGATGTGCATGCATGCGTACTTCAACATCTGGGTGCAAGGGAAGGAAGGGTGGAGGACGTTCATGATGAGAAGAACTGCAGTGAAGAAAATCAACGCTCTGCCGGAAGCGACGACCGCAGAACTTACGCGGTTCAACGACGTGTGCGCGATATGTTACCAGGAGCTGACCAGTGCACGGATCACCCCCTGTAAGCATTATTTCCACGCCATGTGTCTGAGGAAGTGGTTGTACGTACAGGACCACTGCCCCATGTGCCATAGAAAGTTGTACCAAACAGACGAGCCACAGTCTTCTTCTGAAGAGGAAAATCCAGATGTGTTAGATTTTGATATGGCAGATGATGACTAGCTATTAGTAAGGGATAGAAAATACCTTTTATGTGTAAAGTTATTCTGTAAATAGACAAAAATATTGTTCACTCAAAGAAAAGGATGTCAATATTTTGCAATCAGCTGTTAAAAAATTTGCCAAAATGACCCATATTTTGAAATATTGTAAATGTCCCAGCAAATTGTTAGGGTAAAAATGTTGTGGCCTGAATTTTCAATAGCAAGTTTAACTTCATGACTCTTAAATGTGCAGACATTTTTTTTTTCCTTTGTAAGACCACACCAATCTAATTTGTTGTGTCTCGGATTCGCCCTGTCCATTTTTCTGATTTGCAAAAAAAAAAAAAAATTTGGGGGGGTTCTAAATCAACTGCAAAATGGTCAATGAAAGACATATTTTGGCCCCTGGTTGAAGAAAGCCCTTTTCTTCCTCATTGTAGTTAGAGTTTTCAATTTAACATTGCAACTTTGTTTCATTAAAAGTTCAAAATCTACTCACTTCACGGCTCATACCGTAATATTTCCTGCTATCATGGGATGCCTTGGCCTTTTTTTTTTGCCGTCGCTTCATATTCGAGAAGCAACACATTAAATTGGTGTGGCCTAAAAGACAATTATTCAAACACAAAGCAATTTTATAGCATAAGATTTCATATTGAATAAATGGGTTGCTTCCCTCATGATGTAAGTTGTTGAATGTGTATTGCACAACAATAGACATATTTATCAATTTATATGTAAATAAAGATACATATTCTCGGAAAGACAATATGACAATTTGTTGCAATTGGTCATGCAATAGAATCTGCTGTTACCACACAAGCCAAAGAGCAATGAAAGGACAAAAAGTATATTATTTGTGTTTCTCACCTACATGTAATCAATAGCAATGTTTTGTATTTTTTGTGAATTATACATGTTGGCACTGAAAATGTTTAAAAACAATTGGATAGCAAATAGTCAATCAAAAATGGAAACTGTCTTGTCATATATTTTGAAGCCAAGTGACAATGAAAATTATATTCATGTAACTTGAAATGTTTGTTTGGTCGCATGTACTTTTGGGAAGAAAATTAAGTGTGACTCTTTTTAAAACATGTACATGAGTTTGGTTGTGTACACGAAGTATCTTTTCTTTGCTATAATGTCTCATTTTAAAATAGGTGTTATATTTCACCACAGTTGAAACAATCTTCACATACATGTATTCTGGTACCTACATACTGTGAGGAACACTAGCCTGGATTATGAAATGATTTGACAGAAATAATGTTAATATACTGATTAGTTTACACATGCAAAATTTCTGATCCACTGAATACAAAGCTGTCATTCAAAGCTGTATTGGTATATATCTTGAGAGTAATTTTAGGCCACAGCAAGTAATTTTCATGGATGACATCAGCGCGCGCATTAATGTTTGCCTGATTTTGGAAAAAAAATTGTTGCCTTCCGACAGTGGTCAATGTCTGTTGCCTTGCCGGAAGGTGGATGGCAGATGTAACTATTAAGAGAGGAGACAAGAAAAGACTCTGATTTAATGTTTGTTTCTTACTTTGATGTAGTGATATGTAATGTTGGCTGTGTATATGTGATGTTCCTATTGAATCAAAACCATTTGTTCAAAGTTTTTGTCAGCACTTTAAAATGTAGAAAACTTGTTTTTTTCGGCCCGTCTGGGTTTTTTTTTCGCCCGCTCGCATTAGATTTGGAATCTGCGGGGATGTCATCCATGAAATTTACTTGCTGTGGCCTTACTTGTGTTCTTGGGGGTAGGAACTTAAAAATATATCTTTTTAGGTTGACAGAAAAGTGTGACAATCATTATTTTGAAAGTTCGTTGTGTGGTGACTATCCTGTGCAATATTTAATGTATTTTTTTTTCAGTCACTCAGCAGTCCAATAATCTAGTTACCCTGTTCTTTGCATGACAGAAAGTGTATGTTTCTTTTTGTTTAAATACACCACATTTGAAAATTATTGACGGGATGTCATCATTGTATAGATTACCACGACCTTAGATTTACGATACGTTCAACTCGCTTAAACTTCTTGGGGGACTGGGAAACGTTCTGTATCCATTATTACCTCCATGTAGGTGATAAGAAGGGGAGTCATCACCAAGTGTCTTGACCATGTGTTCATGGACTTGGGAGACATCACTTTTTATCGATATACTTGATCACAGCACGAGCTTCTGTTCCTGACATTTTATTTTTTTGCCCTCACCCACCCAATTTTCACGGGGCGTCACGTGCTAATTGATGAATATCAAAAGTTGCATTTCTGTGGGCAGTGATGTTAGAAGTCATAGTATACAGCTATACCACAGAATGCCTCGCGGAGACTACACTTCCTTAGACTCCTCACCAAACAAGGAATGAGTGTCTCTGACCTCATTCAGTTGTACACAGCCCTTGTTAGGCCTGTGCTGGAGTACGGCTACGTGCTCCTAATGGGCTGTAGTAAAAAACAGGAACTGTCTCTCTCGAGAGAGAGAGAGTGCAGAGGAGAGCCTTGAAGATCATCTCTCTGGGTGGAAGGAGGAATGTTCCCGACCTCCCAACACTCCGAGAAAGACGTGAACTTGCGGCTGTCAAGTTGTTCAAGTGTATGCTCAGCCCTGACCACCCACTACATGATTTGGTACCAGGAGCCAGGTCGGACAGCGCAGGGAGGTGTTTGAGGAACTCTGGGGGAAAGCACGGACAAACAGACTGTATAACTCGTTCCTCCACTGCATGCACAATCAGACTGTACAATAGCCAAATGCAGACCTAGTGTTCTAGTGTTTCATGTCCCACTTTTGTATGTAATTGCCTTGTGCGTCACTTTTGTATATGTAATTGCCTTGTGCGTCTCGTCTATGTCAAGTCCACACAATTCAGGAGTACTACGTACCCCTGTTATGTTGACTGTTCTCAATAAAATTGAAATTGAAAATGGAAGTTTCACCTCTTTACTCTTGATGAGGCCGAGAACTTTTGATTACATTTAATTTGTGTTAAATTATAAATGAAAAAATTCCACACCATGAATATTATAAGTTTGCGCTATATTTAATAGATATGTCATCGACTATCCAATAGTCCTAATTTACAGTCTAAATGCAACCCATTAAAAAGTTCAAAGAAAATGTGGCATTTTAGTCTTGCTTGTTTTTTTAATCTTACAAACTTAAGTGAATATAACAGCAAAACATATTTCCGAATTGACCAAATTGGTTTAATCATACAAGCAAATTGAAAGAAACATTCTGTGTAAATATATCATGAAATCTACGGCCTAAAATGTGTGTTATACTTGTAGTTATATTGAATATATAAATCATTTCAAGAAGGTTATTTAGTTTAGTGAATACTATGATTGCGAAAATGTTGCCACCAACATGGCAAGCGCTCTACGGTGTAACTTACCATCTCTATGTTGCTGATTAGTAATTTATTTTTACCTTTTTCTAATTAGGTAACACTGACATGATATTACGGACTAGTACGAGCGGTGAAAATGCTACTAAACCACAGGGATACAAAGCGTAAATTATAAATTTGCGATAGTACATAGCAGATTTTATGACAAGCCGGCACATGCTGGCCTTTTGCGGCATTCATGAGCCGGCACTGTGCTGATGTTCTGGAGTTCTGCTACGGTAGAGCCTAGGTAACATGAGTGACATCCTCCGTACTTACCATCGACTACAGAGGATGGCACCCAGCATGAGCTTCGGAGATTTGTTTATTTGTTTATGCCATGTTGATTTGATTATATGGATGACATCCTCTGGGAACCCCAAAACTGATGCGCGCGTGCGAATAAAGAAAAGTTTTGCAAAAAAAAAGTTGCTTTCACTATGAAATCTACGTGGTCATGAAGGTTGAACAAATGGCACAGAATATGTTATGGCGAATAATCTACTCTTCGAATTCATTTCTTTACATTTTTGTCTTTTTTCCTTTGATTTTGGCATTCTACGACATTGGTATCGTTTCTAAATGTTTTCCTTGCAACTTATGGTATATTTTTGCTCATTTAGCAACTGTTTTGCACGATTTACAGTATGGTTGAAAACTTTTTTCTTTGGAAACGGCCGAAAATTCATGCGCGCGCGGATGTCATCCATATAATCAAATCAACATGGCCTTATTATAATTCACCACAAGTACAAACATACAAGTGGAAGGGAGGACAAAACAGTATTGACACCTGTACAAGTTGTCCTCCCAAACACAACAATATAAATACAGTTCAATACAAATTACAAAGTCGAACAATTGTTGACATGAAATATATAAATTCCTACAATAACATACAATAGTCAATAAAATGCAATACAATACACTGCTATAAAATAGCATTCATTATATACAATTGTAACAATATTAAAAACTAGTCAGAATACTAATGAGGCCTTAAAGCTGTACAGGAGGCACACCCACAAGACGTGGTCCAAGAGCAGGGGAAGTCAGAACTGTAGTGAGCATTGAATCTAGTGAATGTAGCTCTTACAAGCGGTCACTTGAATGCCAGAATGATGGGCAATTGAGTGGCTAATGCACCAGTATTGCAGACATCAGGATTCAGCTTGTTGATATTGGTGATTGGCTTGTTGGTAGAGATGATGGTATTCTTGTGAACAGGCGAAAGTCAATGTCCGTTAGGACGGCATTCCTAAACCTCAATCAGTGTGGCCTTAGGCAGGGGAGGATTGGCAGATATACCGCTTTTTCTCTGTGCATCCAGCAAAGCTCCACATCGGATCAATGACATGTCCTGGGTGTAACCAGTAGTGAAGGCAAAGTGTGTCTTTGATGGGAGGGTAATTTAATCCAACTGGGAATCCCTGATAGAGAGGATTAAGTCAACAACGTAAGGCACGTTAAGATTATAAGATCTACCTATAACTGAAGGAAATCAACAAGTTAAAGGGATCTTTAAACTATATGCAATTTATCTTGGAAACTAGAAAAGTAACATTTGCTAAGCAAATGCATAATGTTTACCTTCGGATATGGTATGCTCTGTTAATTCTTACTCAAACACATTCACATACATGTATATGGTGACAGGAGTCTAAATGCCTACAATGAAATTACCACATTGTGTGTGTGTCACATTGTGTAACCCGACACCAGTTACTATGGTGACAGACGTAAACAAAAGAGGCCATTGTCCAGGTTAGAGGTTAGTGTTTGGAGAAGAAATGGAAATGGAGCAAAAACAATATGTTTTCCTTCGGTAAACATGAAAAACTATACGCGGTACAATGTACCATGTGCGACTGCATTAGGTATCATCACAGCAATGTGC